TTGTCTTCAGGCACTTTTTACTTCACAGCTTCCAGAAGGGATGATGATTACTGAGAGTGGCGCAGCTCTTAGGCATCGTCTAGAGGGACCTGACATTAGAGTGTTCACTACAGAAGTATTCACATAAAAGATAGCTTTTCTTGAGAAAATTTGTTGTAGATTTTAATTTACATCACAGATTTAAAACTGCAGATACCTTTGTCTGAAGGGAAATCTTACTAAAAGTCAGCACTTAGACCCTCTTTCAAATTTTATCATTTTTAGTCCTATGCTTTTAAAACTTCTTATAATTCACTAACTGTTCAAAAGATCTTTCCTACATTAAGTTTAAAGTACCTCTCTGCTTTTATTCTTACCTAGTTTTATGTAAGGAATGTTTTGTGATTCAGATTCCTATTTATAGAGTTGATATGATGTATTATGAATTTAGGGTGATTTTTAAGTCTGCCTTACTATGTTCTTTAATAAACAGGATGTCCTAATTTTTTTCCACCTATTAAGATGATGGTACAGTTATGGAAATATTGCCTATAGCTTATATGTTAAAATTCTAAATTATATTGGTATCCAAATATGCCTTTGCTTTTTGTAATGCTGGGAGAAAATAGGCATTTTTTTTGAAGACTTGACTGGCTAAGGAAATTAAAGTACTGAAAAGTTAGGAATAAGTGCTGTGTCTAAAGATAGTTGTGAAAAAATGCATTTTAAAATCAAATTAATGGAGATACGAACAGAGTGGTTCTAATCAGAGAAATGAAATAATGGGGATTATTTCTTTTAATTTGGTGTGTTTTAAAATTGTCATCTCAGTGAATGCTTTAGTTCTAACTGGATAACTGCATTTGCAAAGTAATGATGTTGCTTGAAACTATGTGCAGAGAAAGTGTAAAAGATGAACTATCTGCTATTTCTAGTTCAGTGCACAGTTGCCATATTTATCCTTTGCTCGATAAAGGAACCATATTCTTGGGAATTATTTAAATATTGACGTGTATCTGGAAGTTCCATAAATTAAATGAGTTAAAAAATACATTACTTCTGTTACTGTTTTATATGGAAGCTCCCAAGTTTTTTTCATATCATAGTTAACCTGGAAATTATATAGGCTACTGGTACTTAATTACAATGTGAATAATTATTTTGTCCATTATGTTAAAGTTAGGAGAAGACTTTATATCTTTGTGTTTTTTTCCTAGATAATCTTGAGCCAAATTTAATTATATCCAAAGAATTTTTTTTTTAATTATTTTTTTGAGGCAGAGTCTCACTTTATTGCCCAGACTGGAGTGCAGTGGTGTGATCTCAGCTCACTGCAGCCTTCTGTTCCTGGGTTCAAGTGATTCTCCTGCCTTGGCCTCTCAAGTAGCTGGGATTACAGGCGCTGCCACCATGCCCAGTTGATTTTTATACTTTTAGTAGAGATGGGGTTTCACCATGCTGGCCAGTCTGGACTCAAGCTCCTGGCATCAAGTGATCCACCCACCTTAGCCCCCAAAGTGCTGGGATTACAGGCATGAGCCACCGTGCCTGTCTTCAGAGAATATTTTTACCAATAGTATATGATATTACGTGGTTTCCTTGAGATAAATGAAGAGTTTCCAAAAGAAAGACACAGAATTTTATGTTCTTGATATCTTAAAGAAAAAATATATTGAGTGCTCATTACTTTAAACCTTTGAATAACTTTTAACAGTCTCTCCACATTCCTACTGTTTATTGATATTCTTTTGTATTATCTTAAGATAGACTGAATTGAATGAAATTTGATTTTTGTAGTTTTTAATAGTAATTAAATTATTGATAGAATCAGATATACAAGCTCTTTAACATTTAACATAAATTGAAAGATGGAAGTGATTTAAATTGGATTTGTTTCAGAATTCCATTTTAGAAATCAGTTGGCAGTATTAGCAGCATCACTATTATATGAATATATGCTAATGTAGAATGAAAGAAAGGTCCTCATTAAAATCTTGTTGCTAAACAAGTGACAGAAACCTTACAGACAGCTTTAGGCTTCAGGTCAGTCACATTTACTCCTGAAGAGATATGGACAAGTGTGAAAGTATATAGACTGTGCCTTTATTGTGATCAGAACACATAAATGCTATTTTGTACCAGTTCCCTACCAAGGACATTTTTATTAATAGTAAACAAAACAAATCTTAATGCAATGCCTAAGCATCCTATTCTCAAGTAAGGTAAAATATTGGGTTTGTTAAATTCAGAAAGTAAACATTTGCTAACAGCCATTGTGTCTGTGTTTTCCAGAAAAGGCCTGAAGTTTGGTCAAGTAGTGTGTTTTCATGAGGCAAAATTCATTATCTAATTACCTTTCTTCCAGACATTGTTTGGGTGAACTGGTCTGGTATAGGTATAGTAAGGTGACACTAAAGGTAAGGTGGTGCAGGGGAATCCAGCCAATGGTTCATTACCGCTATTGAGCATGGCAGTTCTCTTAAAGAAGCCTTTAGCTAGATTTAACTAATTCCGGATTAACTTTATATACATATTGTTTGAGGATTGCCCATGTCTTTTTATTTGGGGATCGTAGTCTTTGCTTATATAAAGGTAGATCTTAACATCATGCTGTAAATAGAAAAATTAGCATGTCAGAATAGATAGGCATTCCAGAGTGAAAGATAATTGACTTTTAGATAGCCATGTGGCTACCCTTCAGCATCTGCACTGGAGAGCTGGCTGTAAGTCCGCTTTGCCTTTTGAGTGTTAGGGAGTCCTTAGTCAAAGGGCACAAAGAACTTTCCCTTGGTTTGATTTGACCTGTGTGCCCAGCTCCTCTGCATCAAGAGGAACAAGAACATTTGTAGTTGGAATAAAGAAGATACTTGATTACATTTAGAGTCTAACCGGCTGGGTTGGGAATGAGAGAGCAAATGTTGGGACTGCTGAGACTAGTGAAGCAGAAGCCAAAGGGAACTAATCCTGTGTGTCCTTGAAGGGGAATACTATGTATGAACTCATTTCGTGTGATCACGCACGTTATTTGAATTAAAGTCATTTCTTGCATCCCTTGTTCCTTCTTCCTAGTCCACCAATTTTCTTGGAAGTATCACTATGATGTTGTGAGTGGATACAGGTATCTATGCTGTAGGACTCTGGTCCCAGCAAAGCCCCCATAATGAATTTTTTTTTTTTTTTGAGACAGAGTCTCATTCTGGTCTCCCAGGCTGAAGTGCAATGGCACGATCTGGCTCACCGCAACCTCCGCCTCCTAGGTTCAAGCGATTCTCCTGCCTTAGCCTCCTGAGTAGCTGGGATTACAGGCACCTGCCACCACGCCCGGCTAATTTGTGTATTTTTAGTAGAGACAGGTTTCACCATGTTGGCCAGCCTGGTCTCGAACTCCTGACCTCAGGTGATCTGCCCGCCTCGGCCTCCCAAAGTGCTGGGATTACAGGCTTGAGCCACCGTGCCTGGCCCATAATTAATTTTTTATGCATTTAATCTCATTTTTGGTTGCTTGTGGTTTAAAAATATTTTTGTTACCTAAGTATGTATTTTCATGGACATTCCTAAAATTCTCTGTTTAAGACAATTATAAATAATGTATAATCCCAAGTACCTGGAAGGATAACACATAGCTTAAGAGAGGAATCTTGATTATTTTGTATTTTAAAAGTTACAAAACATATTGAGAAAACACAATCCACGATTTATTTTTATTTTTATTTTATTTTTTTGCCTACAGCTTCTTTGTAAGGATGATGTTTAAGATCTCACTTGGAAATAGTTGCTTACTTACAGTAGATTAGGGGTGGCAGAGTCTGGAACTAGAGCAGCCAATGGTCAGAAGGAGGGACCAGAGTAGTTCACGAGGGTAGCTTCAAGAGATGAGGAGCAAAGCATATTGTCCTGTGTAAGGGATAAGACAGGACTGAGTCTGACCCAAGCAAACACAAGACAGAGTAGTAAGTGGCCCACCTGTGGGTAGCATAGGTACTAGGCTTTTCTGGGTCTGTGGTCCTGAAAAGGCAGAATACTCAAGGTGCCAATACAATTTAAAGGGCAAACTAGCAGAGTGGAAATTTGACAGAAAGCCATTTGAAATATCTAGGGCACCTAGAACTTCCTTGCGAATGAAATGGGAGTCCTGTTATTAGAAGTTAAGAAACCATGGCAGGGTTGTGTAAAAGCAAAGGGATGCCTTGATGCCATCAGGTGGGAATCCACCAGCTTTTGTTGCCAGGTACTAAGAAGACATGCAGAGACTAGACAACAGATACCAATGTCTGCAAACAATTCCCCTTCAAAGGAGGAGGCAACTCTTCGTATTTCTCCTGGAATATACAGTCATGCACTGCATGACGATGTTTAGATCAGTGATAGACTACATGTATGATGGTGGTTCCATAAGATGATAATGCTGTATTTTTACTGTACCTTTTCTATGTTTAGAAATGTTTAGATACACAAGTACTTACCTTTGTGTTATAATTGCCTGCAGTATTAGTACAGTAACATATGGTACAGGTTTGTGGCCTAGGCTATAGCAAATAGCCTAGATGTCTACTCAGCTGTACCATCTAGGTTTGTGTAAGTACACTCTGATCTTTGGACCACAATGAAATTGTCAAATGATGCATTTCTCAGAACATACCCTCATTGTTAAGCAGCCCATGATTGTACTGTTTCTCTGCTAGAAATCCTATCTCTACATCCTATCTCTTTGAAGTCTCCTTGCCCTTCATCTCAGAAGTCTTCTCTCCCTCCTCTCAAATCACATTTATTTCTACAAAGTAAATATCACTCATCTTATTCTGCCTTTTACTGGTGTACATGTCTTTTGTTGAGCTTGATACCATGTGCCAAGCACAGTCTACGTAATAGATGTTCAAGGCTGCAGTGAGCTATCATCATGCCACACTGCACTCCAGCCTGGGGGACAGGCTTTCTTCTAAAAAGAAAAAAAATTGTGTGTGTGTATGTGTGTTTATACAGATGTAATTACAAGTAATTTTTTCCTTCCAAATTTATTTCAGATTTTACCAAATGCTGCAAGAACTCTGGAGTTCTTATGGTAGTAAAATGCCAGAAAGAAAACTCTGCACTGAAAGAATGTCTAACTGCTTAGTAAGTAGTTATTTCAATGTTTGTGCTTCTGTGTGTATTTGTAGTAGATAAGAGTGTATTACTTAACTCATTACATGTCATATATTCTGTACCTCTCCATACCAAATTTATCATATTGTTGGCTGAGTCTAAAGTTCCAGTGTAGTCTTAAAAATGCAACATATTTATGAGTCTTTTCAAATTTTGTCAGCATTGTATCTAATTAAAAAGATGAAGTCAGCAGACAAAAATATATGATTTTTCACTATGTAACAAATCTTTTTTCGTGAACAGTCTGATCTGTAAAATATAGTACAGACTGATATTTGTTTATTTTATTGTGAAGATAACTGAATTAAAATATCTCTGAGACCTTCTCCAGCCTTGTGATTTGTTGGATTAATATAATTTAACTCCTAGAAAGCTGAGATAAATCATATGGATGATATAAAGGTAAATTTAGATTTTTGAAGTTAACCAAATTAACTTTTAAAATAATTTTATAATATCATGTTCACTAATGTTTTGTGGTAGTTCCTTAAATCGAAGTAAAAATGTGTGAAGTTCTTTGAATTCACATGCTGATTTATTCACCCAAGTTCTATCGCCCACATTATTGACAGATAATATTGTAGAATACTTTAGCAAGTATTGTTAACTGAATGTTGAGAGATCTTAGTTTTGGTAAGCCTTTATTTCCTTTAATTTCTCTAGCCTGTGCAGTGTGTATGTCAGTATGATACATGTCTTAGGGGATTAAATAAAATAGTAATGAACACCTGAACCCTACGTTTTTTAAAAAATAAAATACGTACACGTAAACTTATAGACCTTTTTTTAGAATGGTGGAGTTGGAAAAGACTTTAGAGATAATGTAAACTCATCTCTACATTTGCTATATTTGTGGATGATGAAACATAATCAGTGTTGATTTTTTTTCTTAAGTTAATATCAACAGCAGCCCTTATTTATGGTCTAGGTATTGTACTCGTGCTTTACCATAGAGGAGTGAAACTTCGTTCTGTGACTTAATATTCTCTCAGTTCTATTCCCGAGTGCTTCCAAGAAATGTTTACTGAGTAAACGAATCCCTTAAACTTTTGTATGACTGAATTGTTAAATTCTGCCTTATATATTGATTAAATAATTTTTATATCTCAGATTCAGTCATCATAATTGTTATTGCTAGTTTGACATATTAGCCTTCACTCCAGTCGGGGCAGCTCTAGAGCAGTGTAGACAGGAGTCTAGACTGCAGAGGGCAACCTGGGTTCAGCTTCTGCATCAGTGAGAGCTTAGCTAGCCGTGTGACCTTAGGCAGGCTCTTCATTGTAAGAATGAATAATTATACCTTATGGAGTGATTGTGAGGTACTGTATGTAAACACATTTACCATGATAGGTATTCAGTCAATATTAGCTGTTTTTTTATTAGTATTTGTTACTATTTATCTGAACATTAATCATTTGAATATCCTTCTCTCTCTCACCCCCTAGAAATACGAGAAGAAAATAAAAGATTCTAGTCCATCTGAGGGGAGGAGAGGGCTGGGAAGGATGGCTGTTTCTGCTTGCTTAGAAGAGATAAGCAGTGGATGTAACATTAACTGAAAGTAAATGGAGAATTATTAGGGAAAATTTTATTTGACTTTGAGTCCCCAGATACACTAAGAAATAATATTTGTTCATCTTTAAATAAGAGGGTGTTCTTCTTTGTTTTTTTTTTTTTTTTTAATTTATTTATTATTATTAAACTTCAAGTTGTAGGGTACATGTGCACAACGTGCAGGTTTGCTACATATGTATACTTGTTTGTTAATTACTATTGACATTTCCATGAAATGAATGTAACTGCTTATCCTGTCTCATTTTGAAACATTGTTTTTGCTTACCTCTTACCTTCATTTATAATCTGATTTCTGTCCTTACATCACTGAACCTGCTCTTTTTAAAGGCTCTAATGGGCTGATGGTAGACAAATCCAACAAATTGTTCTTTTTTATTTGACCTCACTCTGGCAATCCCTTCTTAAAAGTCTCCTCTGTCTTCCCTGATAATATTTTTTCCCATTTTCCCAACACCTCTCTGTACTTCTCAATGTTTTTAATCTACTCCTTAAAGTTGGTGATTCCCCAGGTTCTCTTCTCATTCTGAAAGCTGAGGAAGTTTAGCTTGCACCCATGAATTCAATTACTTACTATAGAAAGGAACATTTGTTTCTTTGTTCAAGTCCAAAAATGAATTTGGCTCATTTTGCTCATCCTACGTGTCTTTGTGAATTATACAGTAGTCTAGTATCTACAGCCTTATCTCCTAACTCTAACTGGTTATTTCCTGTTGATTACTGAAATTTCCCACACGTTATCTCTTCCTTTTCATTCCTTCAGCTCTTCTTTTGGCCTGTGCCTTCATCATTTTTTGCCTGGATTGTTTTAACCATTTATTGGCTATCTTGGCTCTAACGTTGCTTGCCCCCTTTTGCCCCATCTGCCACATGTTGTCAGATTCATCCAAGACACAAAACTGATCTTACAGGTGAGGTGCTCTATTAATTGTGCCCCATTTTCTTCAGGATAGATTTTCTTCGTATAGCATAAAGGGCACATCATGATTTGACTTTTGCCCATTCCATCTTCATTTCAGGCCTTTTCTCCTATGTGCATAATCTGCTATAGTGGTACCTATCTATTTGCAGTTTTTCATCCATTAGTTTTTCCTCATCCATGTGCCTTCCCACACTTGCCTTCTATATGGATTTCTGTTGGTCTTTGAAAATACAACTCAAGCATTTCCCCTTGATATCTCTGCCTTCCCCATTTCTTCCTTGTTTCCATGGTGCACTGGGGCATACCTCTGTCACAGTATTTTGTACACTTAATTTTAATCCGGTCTTTACTTGTCCTTTACACCGTGGGTTCCCAGGACAGGAGCTGTGCTTCTCACTGCTCTATCCTGTGACAGTGCTATATAAAAATGAATGATTTGGTCTTCAGTTTGGTAGCATAAAGTTAACAGTGAATTTGTAACCATTACTAAAAGTGTGCTTCTAAAGATTGAGCCTGATGAACCAGATGTCTGAATATTAGTAATTAAAGTAAGCTTACATTTAACACATGCAAGATTACTTTAAAATATTTTCATTTCCTTCTCCTAGCTATAATGATCCAGCCTTTCATGAAGAATGCAAAATGGAATACCTGAAGGAAAGGGAAGAATTCAGAAAAACTGGAATTCCTGCAAAGAAAAGGCTACAGAAGGTTCCAACAAGCATGTAGGCAGATACTCAAATGACATTCAGGAACTCTAATATTCATGGAAGTCATTTTATAGTATAAATCACCTTAACTAATGAACTCAAGCATGTATGTTTGCTTTAATTATGGAAATACTGAAATAAATATTTTATTTCAAAGTTCTGGTTTCTTAAATGGGAAAGGAGTAGTTACTGAAGTGGGATATGGTTTTCCTGGTCTTTTTGGACCTTTCGAAAGGTTTTCCACAACTGTAGTTCTATAACAGTGATACTGATTTTTTACAGTCCAGTATGATCCTTATATTACTTTTCTTCCAATGTATAGGCTAATGGCTAATCATGGGAGCCAAAACTAAAGAAAAGCAGGAATGGACAACCTGCAAAGGTGTTAATAATAACTAGGCAGTATAGCAGGATGGCTATGAACCAGAATCCTTCCTGATTCTACCACTTATTAGCTATACAACTGTAGAAGTAAATCTAATACAGTTTGTGAGGATGTACTGAGTATTGCATATAGCAGCTACACGTACAGCGTGTAAGACAGTGCTTCAGACCTGGTGCATGCTCTTATATTGGTAGTTACTGTTAGTAGTAGTACAGGCTCATTTGGAAACTGTCTTAGTCCATTTTTTGTTGCTATGGGAGAATACCCAAGACCAGGTAATTTATAAGAAAAATTTGTTTGGCTTACAGTTCTGGAGTTTATTTGCCAGCAGCTTCTGGCAAGGGTTTTCATACTGCATCAAAACATAACAGGGTGAAAAAATAGAAGGACGAACAAGTGTGGGCAAGCTTTTGTAACAACCCGCTCTCTTGAGAATTTATACCTGCAATAATGGCATAAATCCATTCATGAGGGCTCCACCCTCATCACCCTATTAACCTCTTAAAGTCTCTTAGTACTGTTAAATTAGCAATTAAGTTTCCAACACATGAACTCTTGGGGGACACACTCAAACCATAGCAGAACCATAGATAAGGAGATACTTATATGAATTAATTTTACTTACATCTTTGATGTAGAATTTTCTAAAACGTGTTCTTAACCTGATAACTTGGCTACTGAGTCCTTTAATCTTTCATTTTGAAAAGTTATCTTTCTAAGTGAATTACCATCCTGTAACATAGTAATGGACTCAGGAAGTAGTATAAAAAATTTGTGTCCCAATTTAATAATTTGAACTTTTATATTAAAAGTTATTTTTCCCCATGAGCTGTTAACTCTTCCACAGCCATTTTAACTAGTTTCAAGATAAGTAAATTTTATGTATATTTTCACACAATCCTCATTAAAAGCACAAATAGAAATCACTACCCACTAAGACAAGGTTTAACTTTCCCTAATCCCATGAAATAGATCTGAGAGACTTTTTTTTTTTAAGAAAGAACTTAAATAGGACACTGAAGAATCAATAGATGTTCAAGTTCCATACTTTACTCGAGTGAACCACTCAAAAAACTATTTTACTCTTATTTGAAATACAAAGAAACCACATTTTCCCAGGCCACAGATCAAAAGGAGGGAGATTACTAGAGCAGACAAAAGCAAAGCAAATACAGAAATCTAGAGACCACACAGCATAGGGGCAAACCTGCCCATATTTCCACATTGACCTTTGGTATTGGTGTATTTCCTAGAGCACAAGAAGTTACCTGTTTTTAGAGATAATGGAAAGGTTACTTTAAGAAGCTAGTGAAATATACAATCTGTGACTATTTTATAGCTTTAAAATCAGAAGTAGCCCACTTCATGTAGAAAATTCACTTACGTATATGTTGCTTTCCCCATAGAAGCCAAATTAGATTATATAATATAAATAATATGTTCATCCTCATGTCAAAGACTAAACCATTCATTGTAGACTTCAGAATACCCATGCGTATCCATACTGAAGATTTTTTTCACCTGGTACATCTGCCTCAGTTGTATCTTGCTTGCTTATGGGTGCCTGTTGATATTATTCTGTTAATATGTGATAACCCACAGGCTTTTTACCCCTTAACATACACCTTCTCCAAGTAGCCTTTCTGAATTAAGATCAGTACTTTGTTGTCACATGATTCAGTTCTTCAAGTCTGAATTTTCCCATTTATTTTGGTTTTCTAATGTTTCACGTAGGCACGTTCCTGCTTTTAAGAATTCAGTTACATTTTGGCAGCAACTCGGTAAGTCTTACAGATGTAAATTTTACTTTAGCTAATAAGGGAGCAAGAGGAAGGAATAGGTGGCTTTTTGTTATTTATGTTCTCTTCATTCTGTCGATTTATGGATGTACTGAATTGAACCTTATATAAAGATTCAAAGGAAGCTCTTGAGAGCAAGTTTCAGCTAGTTTAAGTCAACATATTCAATTTTAAATATTTATAAGCTACAGATGGGCCACTGTTTTTTTTGTTTGAATTTTACCTAGAGCAGAGATGATCAAGTGTACATTTAAAAGCTTCTAGCTGGGTAAAAAAATTTTGGTTAATCTTTCCTTACTAAAGAACCTTATACATCATTTGTCTAGCACTTTAAACTGTCACAGTCACTGACAAAGTACACCTGTTTGATAGCTATCATCACTGTACTGTTTAAATGGAAAATAATTTTCTCCACTCAAAAGCTGGTTTAACAAATGTCTATTATATGAATCATATTAACAACTAACAATTAGTACCAGACTTTGAGATATATAGGCAAGGACAGTGTTTCACATCCACTTCAATTTCAAACAAAAATAATTTATTTTAATTAAACAATTTCTTGGTATTTTTCAAAACATTAATCAAGCAATTATTTCATAACTTTTTTTCTTTACAAAGGAAAATTTCCAATTTTGGTTTTAAAAAAGGTAAACCAGTAAGCTACATTAGAGATCAGATACAATATACAGCCTATGCAGCTATATGAGAAATAGTTTTTGCTGCTTTGTTATTACACAGGTAGTTGCTTCCTTCAGCTAAAGCCTGAAGTATTGTATTTGTTTTATGCATATTGGGTTTGGTTCTATTACTTGGCAGGAGATTGTACTCCCCTGAGTCAGTATGTTCATTGGTCAGAATAAATTCCAGCATCTGACACCAATTCCATTAATCACAGACAAGCTTGAATAAGTGTAAGATAATAGAAAGAAAAAAATATCTGGTGAATGGTGAACATTGTCTATGTATGTATGCTATTCAGTAATATAGTAGAAGAGATCTGAGATATTCTTTTTGAGTTCAAGATATATGAAACTGTCTATCAAAAAGGATAAAGTCCTCCTACATGAAATACTTTAACTCAGGCAAAAGGTGTATGAACCAAGTAAATCTCCACCCTGAAAGAATTTAGATAAATTTCCATGTGAAGCCATTCTTTATTTACAAGTAATTGGCCACTTAGAATAAGAGTGTGTGGACATTTCATGATTGACAATATCAATACAGCCCAAACTTTGATTTCTATGATTAAAAATTCTAATTTAAAATCACTTTCTCAATAAATATATTACATTTCAATACAAAGTCTAACAATTTAGAAGCTGCTCTACATAAGCAGTTGTAGTCTCTTTGAAGAAAATGACTTTTTATCATTACACACATACATTTATGTTTATATTATGGCCCACTGAAGGGGCAGATTAGACTGAAATCTGTGTGATGCTCTTTCTACTACTTATTGAATGGTGTGTAGGGTTAACAATCATTTGTTTACACCTAACAGAGGTTTTCAACTATTTCACCTTTTTTTCCCCCCCCAATTAGGACTTAAGGAATGTACTGGGACAAAGTTGGCTTCAATGATCAGGTTGTTTCAAGTCTTAGAATTCAAACTTCTCCATTCTAAAATTTTTATCAACAAAACACGGTGACTAAAAAATCACTTTAAATCTTAAATATTGAAACACAATAGCATATAAAGATGGTATAACCTAAGATGCTTTTATTTCATTATATTTTCAGTATCTTTATGCATTGTAACAACAGAAATGCAACCTATTCACATTGCCATTTGTTCCATTATGCAATCTGAAGCAACATACATGGTTTCCTTTTATTGTCATGAACAGATATTTAGACATTTCACACTTTGTAAAACCACGTCTACAATCTCCAATTCCATTCTTCTGAGAGGCAAAATTTTAAATTATCGAAGGCAGAGTTCTCTTTTTAAAACACCTTAAGTTTACTTATTAATTAGTAGTGTATTTCGGATTCTTAGAATATGGAGCTACAGGGTGTTCTTTCATACTAGAAAACCAACTATGTTGGTTTTTGTAAATATTGTACAGTATGTTCAAATATAGTTACTGAAGAACTCTGCAAAATTTTAATCCAAATCCCCTTTCAGTTTGTTAAATAATTTCTTGGGAGGACCACTGAAAGAGGTAGTGTCCTCATGGTCAAATCGTGAATCTCTTCCAAATTAATTCTTATAAAGGCAGTTCTGATTATGCTGATCCAAGTAATGCAGTGGTGGAAGGTTGGGTAAAGGTAAAGTTTTACTTTTAGTTTCCCCAAATGCCGTCTCACTTGATTTAGGAGGACTTGGAAATACCCAGGAATTGTCTTCCAGAGAAAGAGAATTTCTGCCATAAGAACTGTGTTCCTGAAAGCATGTACCATCATTAGGAATGGATCTCTCATTGTCTGTCCATGACTGGAGGACTGCTTTCTCTGATAAAACCTTTATATCTCCTGGTAAAGGGGAAGATGCAGTATGACAAAGAGCTTTGCCATTTGGTGAGAGAGGAGGATGTCTTGTGTATGTTGCAGTAAAATTCATCAAGTGCAGTTTTGTGCTGTCTCTTCCAAGGTCTTCACTGCATCCTACCGGGGCACAGGCTAAAAAGAAAACACAGACTAAATGTCAGATGACATTTGTGATCATAAAATTCGGTAACACTTCACTAATTTGACTGAATTCTAGAACTGGTGATGAAATTAACATTTCCAAGTTAGTGTGATCATTGAGGCACTGTGACTAGGAGATGACAGATGATCTGAGTTTTAATCCTAGATCAGCAATTTACTGTGACTTTAGATATTTATCTTAGCTGCTCCTAATGTCTCTTTCCTTGTCTGCAGAATGGATATAGAATTCGTGTCCCAACTATGTCATAGAGCTTTTAAAAGAGGAAGAACTACATATTTTTTAAAGTTGGAAACTAATAGTTAAAATACATATAAAGATCCTGTTCTTGGCTCTTACTGTAGCTGGAGAAGGGTTGCAGACTGTTCACATGTCAGTGGGGACTGAGATAGTTCAATTAGCCAAAAAAAAAAGTTTTGTACAAATGCAATGGCCTAGAAAAAGACTACTTAAAAGCTATTATTTCACCACAGCCAGCATGTTGGTAATAAAGGTTTCTACTCTCCCTCCAGCTCCACCTACCAGTGTGGAAAGGTAAGTTTATCCTTAGCTCAAGAAGGATGGCCAAGAGTAACAAAGGCTTGACTTCATGCAATTTTAGAATAAACAGATTGAACGACATTATAAAATAAGCTCGTCGTTTTTCCTGGGAGGGTGGATAAGGATGGAGGAGAACTGGAAGTGAAGTGTTTGGCTTTGGAAAAAAGGTGATACAAAGGTCAGGAGAAAGGTTGTTCTAGTCTCATCTCTGTACTCCTCAAAGCAATGAGTTCTGTATAAGGAGTGGTGACCTTGAGCCTGCCACTGTCATAGGAAATGTGCTAAAAAACTTATGTTCCAAAGCACTGAAAAATACCTTATTAATCAGCTAGGAAGGAACACAAGGATAAGCCATGTCCAAGTATGAAAAGAGCATTGCTCCTTTACTATTCTTTGGTAGTTCTATTTATCATGTAAACAAAGCTACAATGAAAACCCAATGCAGAATTACTTTGTGAGTCCCTTTAAAGAGAGATCTTATTTGTACCATCAACCTTTGGTCTCAGATATAACTCTGGCCACTGGAAAACTCAAGGACAAAGTGAACCAAAAATTAAGCTAGACTTGCTAAAACACCATATTATTTTCCCTGATTTATATGTAACCAACTCTCTAAAAATGAAAAGGAGTTCTAAATTCAATTTTCCTTTCCAAAGTTTAACATTTTTCCTCACTAATAAACACTCCTGAGGACAAGTATTTATGACACAATCCCCTTGTGTCCTCTTAAGACAATGTGAAATATAAGTAAGTAAGTTTAAACTAGACGGTGATTATTTTTTATAAAAAGTCCTACCTCATTTTTAAAAAGTAAATTTTAGGGCATTCAAATTTGTATCACCCAACTTTTCAGAATATACCTGTTATGTAATACTAGGTACAAATGTACTGATTTTTCTCTAAGGTATAAAAATAGCTTTGGCGAAAGTAGCTACTACTAGTTAACACAAAACTCAAAAAGTTCAATCAGTCAAGCAGTTAAATATGAAAGGCAAAGCAATGAAAATTGTTTGCTTGAAGGGCATAAGGGGAGAACACCTAGTCTTCGTTGTAATCAGCTATATCCTTTGTGGAAAGAAAAGCTTATAAGAAATGCAAAAACCCAAATAATGAATCAAAGTTTGTTTTTTTTTTTTCAAAACAACCTAAAAAGCTAGGTCTCCAGTGTATTCTGTAGCACTGGAATGAAAATTTGCTTTTGGTGTCTTTTTTTTTTTTTTAATATATGAAGTAGCTGTGGTAAAAGGTCAACTAGAGCAAACTTAACACCTCAGTCTTATACACATAAGCAACACTTGGCTGAGAAAAGCCACAAGGGGAAAAGAATACAGTACTGAAGAAAAAACACATCAGCAACACCTTTATGTGTGAAGTTGACCAGTATGAGACTGAAGCCAAAGCAGAGAATGGGTAGGCTGCGAACATACTATATATACTTTGGCTTATCAATCTCTCATTTGATGAGATTTTGATAAGATACGACAGCTAGTTGCTCTTCAGGCAGTTTGGCTGGAATCAGTGGTTTCCGGTAAACAGTGACTTGCCTTTCTTGATTGCAGTTGAGGTTTTCAGTTTTCTTAGTAGTTCAGCTTGTACTTGAGTCACCAGATGTAAATTAGACATTTCTCTCTTCAGTTCCCAGTATGCATGCTGCATATTATCACTGAAATAAATGTTTTTACAAAAAGTTAATACTCATCATTCTTTTTTATAGACAAAAGGGAATAACTTTAGAAATATGCAGATCAAATTTCTGCTCCAATTAGTTTTGAGATGATGTAAATTGAATAAACAATTGAAAGATATTTAACTAGGGCATTAATAAGTGAAAAGATCTTGAAAGAATAATACTGTCCATCTGATATGTAGCAATTAACTGTATGATATTAAACAGGGTATAATAAAAATAAATATAACGGATGAGAGCTTCTTGCAGAGTCTCAGAACTGAGATTTTATTTTAGGCTATAATGTGCAGCTATTAATTAGTAAGTAGTAAGAAATATGTTCTTTATTTGCAAATCTGATTAACAGTAAAGTTACACTCATTCAAATATGGATCAATTTGTATTTATCCTTTGATTGTTTTGACACTGAATTGAAATGATATATCAACTGCTGAATATATATCCACGTCCACATTAAAATAAAATTTAGGTTTCATGTATTACATTCTTTATGTCTGACTGGGCTGTCTCATAATGTTGGTTCTAAACCAATGTGACATGACAGCACAAGACATGAAGAGCCAGATGATTTCCTGGTAAGGAAAAAGAAGCTAGAGAGGGAGGATTATATGAAACAGAAATAGAAACGTCAAAAATGCCTCTCCTATTTTTATAATTAAAAGTATTTTACCTCAATTATCTAAGAAATTATAATTAGTGATTTTAAACCTAATTTTTATAGATTCTGTTTTCCATTAAACATTCATATTCGGATATTCACTATTTTTTTTTGCTGCTTAATTACCAACTAAATGAAATTAAAATCTTCAGCATATATTCTCATTTTGTTGAACAGGAATATCACAAAGTATTAAGTATAAGACTAAATAATCTTATAGCATTAAAAAATAATTATTACCCCTTAGAGATATTAGTGTAATTTTAGTAGTACAGAAATAAAACTAGACAAACATGTCACCTTATGCTTCAATTTTTGTGTTACCATAAACACTTAAACTTCAAAAGGACAACATTTTTGAAATCTAATATCTCAAATTACAGAAGTAATATAGTTTATATTTAATATATAATCTATAAAATATAATTATTTTGAATTATGTAAGGTGAAATACCTTTTTGTCAATAAACTTTACACTGCTTTTAAGAAAAATGTGC